CACAAACGGCACTGCCACACCGACCGCGGGCGTCGCTCGATCGTTCCGTGGCCTCGCAACTGCCCGCATCTATCAATGTCTCTATCCCTCTCATTTACGGTCAGGGCTTAGCGTAAATGCTGAAGGAGGCGCGCAGGCCATTGATCGGTGAGGAAAAATGAGCGACATGCGGTTACCGCACGGCAGACGCAGGGCCGGGGATTGCCTTCGCTTGCCCGCTCGTCCCCTCCTGAGGTCCGCACCACGCCTGGGAAAGACTGACATTTAACCGGGGGGGCGGCGGGGGGGGCGGCGGTTATTGACTTTAGAAACGCCAGCAATTTTTGTTGTTTGCCGTGGTAGATGCGTCATAGCTTTTTCCGTTGGTTCGTTCTGAGACGGCAACAAGAAGCGACCCAACTGCGCCGCTTCCTAGGCAGGACCTTTGTGCTGACCTTCCCCCAAAAAGCGCTCGTAAATCCCCAGCAGCCAGCTCCCACCGAAACCACCGCGGGCCACGGAAAGGTTGTTGTTTTCTATTATAGTTTTTTTTTTACGCAGCGGTGTGTAGAAAGCGTTCGGCAGAAGCGTGGTTTAATGTTACAGATTAGTTCTAGCGGGTCATATTCAATGAGCTCGGTGGTGCGGGGAGGGGAAGAAAGGTGATATGTTGGTGCGACACCTGACCACTTGGTTCCGTTAATTTCAGGAGGCGTTTTTCATATATTGTGCTATCACGTGCGAGTAACGGTAAACACTGCCGCACTCGCTTTTGTAATTATTTTTGTATGCAACGCAAAAAAAGCTATTTTATAGCACGCTTTATAGCATGTTATTCAACAAATGTCTGATCGTGACTGTCAAACTGATGTCGATCTCTATTTTAAAAGACCCAATGATGTACAATATACTTCCGCTATAACGGTTTTTGCTCTGTTTCGGTGATAACTTCAAATTGCGGTAATAGTTGTGTGTGCATTCCTGTGTAATTACGTGCGAAAGATACGAAAACGCAGACTTCTTTGGTTTGGGCGTGTAAAAATAATGGGGGACAAACTATTATCCTTCGGTGGTCTTGCTCTGTCATGTGGAAGGAGCAAGTTTGTAAAGGGCTGGAAAGACCATACAACACAACAGAATAATAGTGCAGGATCGAAACCTACACTTTTCGAACAAGACGCAAATATGGTGTAAGAAGCACACGGTCATTGTTCTTCTGGCACTGACTTTTCCAGCACATTTAGTTTCGTTTATATTGTTTAACCAGGTGGAAACTGAATAGACCAGGATAGTCTTATTCGCATGAGATAGTTTTAGTTAATTACAGGTGCTGATCACCCATATATACAGTTATACAAAACTCATTATATACGAGAGTGTAACTTTAACACCGTAACTTCATATTTGGCTGTAAGTGCGAGTGTGTGATACAAGCAAGGGAGGATGAAGTGCGCATTGTTTTTAAATATTCGGACAGTCGCTTGCAGTGCCAGAAAGTCAGGCATGCCCCGCGCTCCGTTTTATTGACATGTAACACATCGCATCCACAGAAATCTATATTTAATTGCGCCACGACCGAGTATTTGAATCCCGGGCGTACAATTTTGCACTGTCCGTGACTGCCCGTCATCCAGCGGTGTCACTAAATCCGCAAATGTTACCTTGCTGGATGATTGCAAAAGTCACTGTGATTTCCTGCTCTTAACGAGCATTGAGGTATTGGTGCTCATCTCATTTTTACAGCACTGAACCAGTGTGGAAATTCCACATTTCTATGGTGGGGAGGTCTCTAAAAGGGGAACCACTGTTGATTTCCCCAGAAAGTGGTACTTAATTTATCACCCCTATAAAGATGATGGGCTGAGTCAACGCCCAAAAAGGATTTAAACTCGCAGCCTTCCGATTGTGAGCCGCTCGCCTAACCGCTGAGCCACCTGGCCGAAGAAAGAGTGATGAACGACGATGGCTTTAGGTTGAATCAATCCTCTTTCCACGCCCACCACCATGCTTGTCAACCACAGCACATCAGCTTCCTCCTCTTCCCACGTGCTTTGTGTGTGGTCCACGATAGCATTAACTGTTACGCTGGCTATTAACTGGTTTTCCAAACACAGATTTGGAGGAGAAAATGAAAACGGGTCCTTTTAGCGATTGGGTTCATTGGCGTGTGACCTCATGCGGCTATTTATATTTTTATGGCGTCAATACGTAATCTGTGGCTAAACGCTCATTCATAAAATTGCTTCCCGCAATAATTGATAAGAATAATGTAAGCCCTGACTGGGAATCATACTCGGGTTTGCCTGGTTCATAGCAATATATATTATTCAAAAATTAATCAAATATCCAGTGCCAGAAGGACAATGGTAATTAATTCCTTTTTTTGCAGCATTACTTTCGAGATAGCAAATGACGTCTTCGAAACGCAACCGCGTATCAACGTGCGCTGCGCAAATAGTCGGATGCGACGGGAACAAATGACACGAAATAATACAAGCAGCCACAAAGCACCCACGTTGCAACAGCTGCCAGAGAGTTTCAATGGAGACAATCCACCTGCCCGCGAGTGAGTCATGTGTGTCTTTCAGATTGCAAATGTTCCAGTGTGCACGCAGCTTAGTGCTGTGTGTACGAACGTGTCTGGTTGTGGCAGTTCAATGGTGGTGACTAAACTGGTAATTTAACCCGGAAATCAGATTACTTTAGAAAATGTAGTCTTTGGCTACTGATCAGGAGCCACATAATTTATTTAATACAAATATGTGTTGAGTTTTTTTTTTTCGCCCACTCATTTTTAAGTTTTTGGTCTGTTTCCTTAACTTAATCTCGATTGTGCTATTGGCATTATGTCATGAGATGGAGTAGGATCACAGTAAAGTTTAAATAACAACGTCCGTGCTATAGAATGCAAGTCGGATTTATAACTTGTCTAAATCCTACCACATTCTCACGAACTCTACATACGGCGCACTTGGATATTTTTTGTTTCTGTTTTGATACCAGCCCCTTTCTCTTGTGTTGCCTTCTCAGCCTCTCTTATTTCCACCGTGATCACCTCCCACCTCCATTACGGGCAAAGATTTAACAACCTCGCACCTGAGCGTTAAATTTTAACTCAAAATCGCATTGCCATGCCGCTTGGCAAAAATATCTCTCGCAATGGAGTAAATGGACGCTGAGCACAAATTCTAATGCGTGACTGTGTGAGATTTTAATCGCTGCAGAGGCACCGATCAACTTTCTTACTCGACTACACCACGGCTCAGACAAGGTCTTTCATCCCGCCACAGCCATGCCAAAGCTAATCAAAAGCAGAATTCACACAGCTTGTACTCGTTGAAAGTTAACGCTCGAAAGGACTGCATATTTACGCAGTGTCAGAATTCCCCCTGTGGACTGTCAGCGATCTGTACAAGTAGACATTACGACATGTTATCTATGTCTTGCGACACGGGCCCCTGGGTGTGCCCTCAGCATAGTGAGTTCTTTGCTCATTCCGTCAAACTGTGAACCCGCCATTATAGCATAAGTTTTCAGTGTTTGTATCGATCCCTGGAGATAAAACTATCGGTAATTGTTTTGTTTTGTTTTGGTTATGTTGTCGGTCCTCGTTATGGGTCTGTAAGTTTGTTTGGTTATGTATTTATTTTCTTTTAAAATAATAATTGACCTCCATTCACCCATGAAAGCCTCGTCTGAGTCCCAAGACTTTAAATAACCCGCCTTGTGTATACTCATCTCCTTGTGTAAACAACCCCAGGTACTTATTTCAGACTCGTGACATTTTTGTTTAAGTGGCAGCAAACTCATGTCACTTTTCATTTCAGATTTTCCAACAAAAAAAAAAGACCCTCTTTGGAATATGGGAAGCAAAACACGCAGCAATAACATATATCGTATTATCCACTTTAATGTGCTTCCATGCTGCTGAATGCCACTAAGCCAATGTCACACGGGTATCTGTAAAATCCTTTTCGGTGGACAACTAGCGCACGCATTTTTAAATTGGCACTCGTACGTTTATCAGATTTCCACTCAGACTGACTGAACACAAATGAGCGCTTCCACTACAAAGATCCGATCTTATACCGCACATAATGAAACCAACGCTGATATGGGCAGGTTACGACCCACCTCGCCATCGGCTCCATCTGATAAAATCTGCAATTTCAGATTTAATCTACGGATTTCCTAACAACCGCTGTGTCAATTTCTTCACGGCATTGGGAAGTCATCGGTGGTCCTCCTATACAAAGACTGGCCCCCACTACAGTAATGTGGAATTTACCAAGGTCGGGGCTGTCGACAAGACCAATTACCGTTCCGACTAACTGTTTTGTGTTCAGCAATAAAATGCAGTGTTCTCCAATGTATTTTCGGGGCCGTCCCATGCGTTGTTTGTGCAGGATGTCCGATGTGACACTCACAAGCTCGCAGCACATGGAGCGAAACGTCTGATATTGTGACGAACAGCACTCGATGCTGCCCCAAAAAAAACGCATAACGGAGGATAAAAGAAGTGAAGAAATTAGCATGCCAGGAGGAGATGGGGATATTGGTAAGATCAGGAATAGATGAACGAGAGGGGATCAAATCCTCCTGTAGCCACTAGATGATCCCTGCGACAGAGCCCCGAGTGGTTTGGTTTATTTTTTTTAATGAGGTGAGAGCTCAAGAGACCAGGATAGTCTCATTTGCAAGAATGACCTGGGGGGGGGGCGATAATTGTATAATCAGGTATTGAAGCGTTGGATATTCGTTTACTAATTGATCTGAAGATGAAAACACTTGTAGCATTACACCGGTGAAGCTTCTTAGCCAAGGTCCTTTGCGATGGCTTGTCATTCTTTGCGGCTTGTAATCATTGCAGTGATGATGATGATGTCGTATAGAGGAATAGCAACATTTTACCGCGAAAACCTGTGCAGTACTCACTGCCGTGGTAATGCCGTGTTTATTTCACCATTAACGTCTCGTTTCTCCGTGTGGGTTTCCATTGCTGCTCCCGCCCCTCCTTCCAGTGCAAACACCTGCTCGCCGTGCACCTGAGCCAAGCCATGGGCCTGTGCGCCGACGTCGCCATGACGGACCAGGAGCTCTCGCGCATGCTGCTCAATAGGCGTGATTAGAAGAGGACGGCCCCAGGTGATCGTCAGCATTGACAGGCCAGACGCGCGCCGTAGCATCTCATTGAGCCCACACGCGTTCATTTTGTCCATACCTCGTGAGTGCACGTATCTTAATTGCAACCATATGGCAGTTCAATTAAATTATGGTGTTATGATGATGTATCTGCCAACTAAAATAATTAAATTTTGTGGCGTGGCATGGTGGTGCGGCGATTAGTGCAATGCACCACCTGGCCCTCATGCCCGGCCATGGCTGACATCAGTGGTGAGTGATGTCTGAACCTGTGCTGACCGGTGTAATGAAGTATGGTCAGACAACCTGCACGACTGACACTTTATGGGATGAGTTGGGGGGGGAGAGCTGTCAACCAGCAATGGGTTGAGAAAGGGCTGTAAATTATTGTAAATTTGACATGCATTGTTGCATACATAAAGCACGAATATATATAAACTAGTATAGGTACACACATTTTGACCTCGGCACATGGATTACATGTGGATAAATGCACGAATGCGCAATGAATATGAGATGCCCTGTGGTGTTCGCCTTCTATTGACCTGTTATTTGTGCAGTGGCCACGTCCGTAAATTGCTCCGTCTTCTCTGTTTGATCTCTCGTTAGGGCATTGCTGGTGAATGCTAAGCATCGAGCCACCCCACGTTCTCCAACCTCCCCCCTCCGCCACCGCCACCACGGCCGTCACGAACACCGCCACAAAAAGGCCACCATCACCACCACACAACCCCCGTGCGACAAACACCTGACGGCACGGTCGTACCTCGTGGGTCGGAGAGCAGTTGTGTTTACCCTCGTCCTGCGAAATGCCGTCTGCGTTCGTCATCGTTAATTGGCGACCGGTCCCGCATGAAACGGGACAAAGTAGTGGCAGAGTAGGAGGTGAAAGCTGAACCTCAGTGGCCTACCATGAACAGCAAAGCCCTCGTTTGATTTTTTAAAGCTATTTAAAAACCCGATGACGCCACGATGGTATAAACTTAAATATTTTAGTGGCAGCGTACCTTGTAAACATTTAGATTATTTTATTCCTGTAATTATGCAATATAACAGCATTATGGAATATTACATTTATACAAAGCTTCCTTGGAATGCGTACACATGCAAAGTCTTAGTTAAGCAGCTTTAGACGAAGAATGCAGCTGCGTCAATGCGTTTGTATTTTTTATTAAACAATTATATTTTGTCGTCAAACAGTACAACTAATGCAGTGTTCACAGCTGTTGATACATAGCCTACGTGACTGTCTGCACTCAAGACTCTTTGCTCGCTATTAATTAGCGGCCACCCATCCAGTGGGATAGGCGTGATGACAGGGATTACAGCCATCGCCCAGCACTTTCTGAAGCCACATTAATGACCGATGCCTGGTTTGGGACCGTAAATACACAACCTGTTCCCTGGAGGCCCGGCAAAAGGCCTGCTGTCCTCCAAGCGACCGTGAAATCGCAGTTTTGCTTGTTTGTGTAATTGAATGTGTGCATCTTTTGTTTTGTTTTACCGATGTCCTACTTTTATGGAAAACTTTAAGATTAGTGTTTCTAGAATTCAAAGTGTAAGAGGAAGAGTGCAGGTCTTTAGATCGTGTGAAAAACAACACAATTCCGCAGTGCGCACCATCACCATAAGATGTACATGGATCAGCTTTGATTCATTAAGCGGCTTAACCAAAACGAGCCATCGACTGGGCATGGTTTTTAAAAACGCAACTATCAGGTCAACGTCGTTGATGTGTTTTCCGACGTGTTTACGGGTTGTACCGCGTTTTGTTCGGTATTGTGTCCGATGTTTCCCTGCACGTGCTGGCAGCATCTTTCGGAGAGGTGTAGTGTCAGGACCACGAGAGATGGCGACTGCTTAGGGAGGTCTTCATCCAGCGGTGGATAGATAACGGATGATGAAGATGATGAGCTCAGAAGAGGGGGTCACAACGAAGTAATTTCAATTCCTGGAGAAGCTGCCAGCACGTGGAGCGAAACGTCAGACATCGTGTCAAACAGCATGCAGTACGACCCAAACGTCGGAGATCTGTACAGCAGAATTGCAGAAACATACGCAGTATCATTTATTTGTTATTGAAATGTGAAACTACATTCAATCATATGCCTTGGTTATATTTATGACGGTTGTGTATTTTTTTTTAGTTGGCCTTGTTTACATGTACATCATCCATGTTTGTGTTGGTGATTTTAATGTTTATGTGCATACTTTTGTAATAAATGTCAAGCTGGTCCAATATCTGTGAGGTCTCGGTCCATTTATTGCCTTGTTTTATGTAAAAAATATGTTTTGTATGTTGTGCATCACCAGAGCTTAGGCGATTTCGCCCAGATAGCGTAACGTCCGAGGCGCATTACTCTCTCGTCTAATGGCATTTCACAATCTCTGTCATCGTTAGCTTCCCTTGCATGTTTCGATTTAAAGCTTTCGTGTCTGCAGAGATTAATATTCTTGGTTCTTTCGGTAAAGTCACGTGGAAGGGAAATGATAAAATAAAAAAATTCTCACGACGTTTCGGCCACAACGCAAGCAGCCGTCCTCAGGTGAAGAACAGCTGTCGGAAAGACAGCTTCCTAAGGATCACTTAAGGATCACTTAGGACGCTGTCTTTCTGACAGGATCACTTAGGAAGCTGTCTTTCCGACAGCTCTGTTCTTCACCTGAGGACGGCTGCTTGCGTTGTGGCCGAAACGTGAGAATTTTATTATGTTTTATTATTTCCCTTCTACGTGACTTTACCGAAAGAACCAATAACATGAATCCCTTGCATGTGTTTCATCCTTAGAGTGAATGCAGTTCTGTTCAGTTTTTTTTTCTTTAAACCACACGAGAACACCGCAAGGACGCTGCCGACGGCGTTGTGCATGCATGGAGACGCAAGGACACTTCACAGTGCAAGTGTGAAAGATAACTTCAAAACGATGGAACATCTGGTCGTGAACACCTATCCACCGTTACTCATTGCCCCGAAACATCTCTGAAATGAACTCGTGCATTGCTCTTGACTGGTTATCAAAATGTAATGCCAATCTGTAAAATGTTGCTATTCCTCCATATGACATCATCATCACGGCGACACTGATTATACTTGGCAATCATCGCCCCCCCCCCAACCCCTAAGGTCACTCTTGCAAATGAGACTATCCTGGCCTCTGAGCGCTTACCTCGTTAAACAAAATAAACTAAACCACTTGGGGTTCTGTCGCAGGGATCACTCGTGGCTACAGGATGACTTGATCCCCTCTAATCTGACAATAGCCCCATCTCTTCCCGCCATGCCCATTTTTTAAACATTTTTCTCCGTGTTTTCGTTCTTCCTTTTCCTCTTTTCTCTCCTTTTCCCACTTTCTAGATCACAGCTGGAGATCACTACGATTATACGTGCACGTGCCGGTCACTAGCCGGATGTGTACCGACCCCGGAACTATGTCTCTTGTATTTTTGTTGAAAGTTTCAAAAAATTCTTCATACTATTTTTTTTACTTTACGAGGTGAGGCCCACTGAGGTGTGTGGCTCTTTTATCAGAAGCGACGCAACCACACGTGATGACGAGCCCACTTCGTTGAGCCATCACGTGGACAATTATGGCAGCCGAATACTCCAACCGCGTGATGTTGATTCTAAATGTGGAGGGGGAAAACCGGAGGACCTGGAGAAAAATCCACGCCACCATGGGGAGAGAGAGACATGCAAACTCCAAATATACAGCAGGCGTCAAGGGTCGGGATCGAACCCACGACCTCCTGTATACCAGGCGAGGTAGTTAACATCTCCTAGCCACCGTGATGATGATGATGAGAGAGAGACACAGACTCAAAATATACAGCAGCAGGCGTCAGGGTCGGGATCGAACCCACGACCTCCTGTATACCAGGCAAGGTAATTAACATCCCGCCACCGTTGCTTAGACACTTTTAGTGCATTTTCTACTGTTGCGTCGACCTTGTTTGGTCTGGTATATGTTATGTTTGTTAATAGACGGGGGTTGGTGGTTTCACACAAATGTGTGAAACTCCCAAACGCGCTGGCTTCCGATGTGACCAGGAGATGGCAGTACAGTGAGTAATCTGTGCAGAGCTTGGAGCGTTATCCCCTCGTATGTGTATGGGTTTTCTCCAGGTACCACACTTTCCTCTCCTATTCCAAACAATTACGAGTGTAATTGGCCAAACCATCCCAATGAGTCTCGACACTCACATCGGACATCTGTACAGCACAACCGCAACAAGCTTCACAATTGTTAAAGGTACCGTTTACTGCGTAGGCGTAGTCAACTATTTGGGTAAAAGGTGATGCTCGATTATTTTGAGTGCCTGGATAAGTGTTCCAATGTGTGAGCAGGTTAATGCCCTGCTGTTTTTTTCCTGAGCCTCCCGTCATTAGGCGGCGGGCCACGAACTCGGATTAAAAATATCACTGCCGCACAAAAGGGCACCCTTATTTCTGCCCACCCACTTGTTTTCATTTGCGTGCAAAACACCGCTCTGCACCGAGTCCCTCCGGGAACGTCACATGACAGACACACGGCTGTCTCCTCCTACACCGACGGATGCTTGAGGAGAGTCCAAACCACGGACCGTGCAGCAACGACCAATGACCGCTTCAATAATTCATCGGCAAAGTTTCAGATATTCGTCAGGCTACTCTAGAAGCCCATCCGCTGACTCACTCAGCAGCAGATGGCTGGCTCACCCAGCGTTGAAGTCTGCGAGTCTCTGTAATTCTTTGGGTCTTTATGCTAATCCCTGGGTGTCAATGTGAAAATAAGGCTACCTGTCTTTGGGTTTCGATGTGAATCTATGGGTGTCTATGTAAGTCTGAATCTCCACTCGAGTCTACGTCTCAAACCACGGATCACATACTGGTAGCAACGGCACTGCCCGCTTCACTCATTCGTCGGCAAAATTTCTGATATTCACCAGGCTACTCCTGGGTTTTCCAATGCAGACCATGTCCGTTAATCACGGCGCTTTCGTCATAGCCTTGCAACATAAGAACGGCGCAAAGAACCAAAGGTACCCAATAATATACTCCTGTTGCTGTCCACTTGACCACCACCCACCCAACCTCGACACAAAAAAATGAAACCGTGCCGATCCACTCACACCACACGGTGGAACAAAAAAAATAACAACAACCGTTTAAATTAGCATTTGTTGTTCGTGGGTGGATCTGGTGATAACGCGTTGAGCGAGTCCACTGGTTCGCGTGTCCAGTGGTGGCATGCAGATGCAATCGGGGTCAAAGGTCAAAGTTTGATTCACTACTGTTTTCGCAAGAGGGTTTTTGGAGGAGTGAGGCTCGGGCAGGGAACATCGGCAAGCGGCACGGGGAGTCGGTCAGGATTACACGCCGGAATATTCCGCATGCTTGGAGTTCTTTACAAGTGTTTTTGTGTGCGTGCGTCTCGATCGCTGGCAGGGCACGTCGCTAACAAGAGGACGGTGACCCACGGTCGGCGAAGAACGGCGGGAGTGGCCACCCAGGGAGTGGAGCGCTTTCGAGTAGGCGACCGCCACGGAGACGGAGCGATGAAATCCGCTCACGTGCAGGCGCTCGATGGACGATGACCGCGGCGAGGGTTGTTAGCGGGCCACGTCGCTGGAGCGGATGACGCACCGATGGTCGAGAATAACGACAGAGGGTGGCAGCTGAGAGAACTCGTCACCTTGGGAGGTCGACCTCGAAAGAGAAACCACGACGTGTGCAGGAGGTGCTGGGTGGATTGTTGCATCGCAGGTCCGTGAGAGATCTAGCAGTTGCTCGATCACGGATGGTTATTATGATCATTATTATTATTGTAACATCGAGGTGGCGAGATGTTAATTCCCTCGTCTGGTATGCAGGAGGTCGTGGGTTCGGTCCCGACTCTGACGCCTGCTGCTGTATATTTAGAGGTCCTCCGGTTTTAGAATTAACACGCGTTTAGAGCGTTTGGCTGCAAAACATTTCCACGTGATTAGCCACTTTGTTGAGCTATCATTTGTGGCCAGGTCGCTTCTAAAAAAAGAGCTATACAGCTCAGTGAGCCTTCCCTGATTAAAAAAAAAAAGTTACGTTTTTAGTTTATTACTATTATGCTGAAGGGCTCTTTGTTACGGGACCGGTAGAGACAGTCAAAAGCTAAAGGTCAAACCCTCTGTCGCTGTCCGCGCATCAATTCCGCGGAAGTGTGAAGCCACGGCTACGTGGAATGTGCGCGCTCACAACGCGCGCTGTTGACGTTCGTGAAGGCTGCTACGCACGGCAAGAGAGGTGCACAGTCCAGACTCCCAGAGAGGTCAAACGTCCAAGACACGGGTGAACGGCGGGCACAAAAAAAGGCACCGTGAAGGAAAACCAGTGCAGTAATCTCCACTTTGGCCAAATACCTTCCGAACCGAGCTGAGCTTAACATGTTCCAGATGACCTCTCCACCGCGTCCGGTCCACTCGCTTGTAATCATTGGGCTAGGGGTCACCACTGTTACACAAGTGTATTTTGCCGCAGCGGCCGTGTGCTGCTCATAAGCCGTTTGGTAGAATTATAATTTCCATCAGAGCCACGTGGTGCATCGGGCAGCCTCCAAATTGGAATTCGCGCAGTATCCCAGGCCTATCTCAATGCTCATTTATTTGAGCAGAAAGGAAATCACTTTGGCTTGACAGCTGAAGTCCAATATCAATTCGCCACGAAGTGACGGTGACGTCACCACGGCGCCTGTGCCAGGTCAGGTGCACTTTGAGGCCACGTGAAGTGTCGAAGGCTCGCTGACAGGAGGTCTCGGGACAGACCCAGCAGGTACCAGGGGTTGGCTGACTGAGATGACCGGTAGATGCACACCAGCTGTACCCAATACTGTGCCAACTTAGCTGCCCGGCGCATTGTTGTGAGAGCGTCGCTCCTCTGCCCTCCGTTGTTGCTGGAGGGCGACTGCCTCCAACTGCCCAGCAGCAGCGGCGTCCTTCACGGGCCTCCTCACCCACACACACACCCCACTCGTTGAAGACGTCAGTCGGACGGACGCCTAAGATGCTGAATCGTCGACACGCAAAATGTCCACGCGTTGCCTCGTGCATCCTGCCATCCAGCCATTGAGGACTTGGACGCCTCGAAGGCAATTCGTGAATGTTCAAGTGACGGTGTCGGGGGGTGAGCGTCGGGCGTGGGTGCCGCGGTGCGGGAAGAGGAATGGAGAACGGGCGATTTTGTGTTGAGGTGAAATTGAAAAATAAAGAGTGTACACACACAAGGAAGG